TATCATGTTACACAAACTAACGTATACTGTTACAAAGTAATTTTTTTATAAAATTTTTAAAAATGATCTCTTTGTATAAATGATATATTTTCGCCTTCTTTATTTGATTTTTCGTATCATTGCAATTTAGATAAGGAGTGACATTTTTATCTTATATATAAATTTAAAAACTTCCCTTATTGTTTATACATTAATTGAACATCTTTTCCTCGAGATTCTCAGTATATTAATTCTAATAAACTAGTTTTTATTTTTCAATTATTACACTAACATCCAAAAGATAACATGGTGTTTACTATTTTATCAAATAACTCTCTTAAATTTATAATAATACAACAGTTTATTCACAGATATTACGTTTAGAGTGCTATGTACTGTATTATAACGTATTGCAATAATAGGTAGAAAGAAATGTATACAATTAAAAATTAGTCTTTGCATTCTAAATGTTGCATTAAATGTTACATGTTCTTTACTTACAATTAGATATCTGATATTGATCAATAATGTAAAAAGGCACGATGGCGGCATATATTCTTATTATACATTAATGAAAAATGTTTCAAAAAAATTTTTGATCTAATAATTAGTGATTATATATGATAAATTTATACATTGAACGTTATGTAACTGTATTATTCAATTACAAGTCTTTGTTAATTTCTAACTGTGCATTTATAATACTTTAGAAAAAATATTGGTACTTTTGTTCTTTCAATCAACTATATATTTTTATCATTTTTTTATTTTGTATTAGGGTGGTTCTTTAGTAGTAAAGTGTCGAAAATTTGGGGTGCTTTACCAAGGTCCATTCAAAATTACAAATATCTGCATAATTTGGGTAAAATATTAAAACTGTGTGTATCTTAATGAAATAGTATGGGACATACGATGGTATAATAAATCCAGAGCTACATCTTCAACGAACAAAAACAAGACGAAATTAAGTTTACTTTTCGAGGTTAAATTTATATACAAGTTTATGCACGTAAATATCTTTCCAGAATGGACATATTACTTTTACTTATAGAATTGACTTAATATTTTTTTGTGATCATTAAAATCGTAATTTTTAAACTATTATACCTCATTTTTAAGAAAAATCTATGGTAAGAATTGTGTGCAAAGAAGCGTTTGCGAGCCTTATCAGTCATTAAATTATATGTGAAAGATTACATTTTCAATATTTTTTTTCTTTCTTATTTCATCGTTAACCTACCGTAAAATTTTGCCCATGTCAATTTCGGTACCTCAACTTCATTTTTAGAAATCAGATATTTCTATGATAACTCAATTTACTAAAGAACCGCCTTAATAAAATGTAATACTTTTTTATTGCTAAAAATTGCAGAATGCAAATTAAATATACGTAAAACAATATGCTTCATAAATTTTGGCAGAATTCGCATTATACGCATTTGTGTCAGTTTCAATCTTCCTAACAAATCGTCCAGAAATATTTCTTGAATGATTTTCTTGAATGACATTCTTATAAACTTTTTTATTATAATGTAGTTCGATATTAATTTTTAAAAATATTTCTGTAGAATTTTTGCTTCTCTTTCGTATTTCACTCGTACTTCATCCGTATGATATAGTCATTTTCATCGGCCAAGCGTGGAATAAAATTTAGGCTGCAAAAAAAGGAAAATTATATTTAAATACATTAATTTTATAATTATAAATTAGAGATTGAATGCTAGCAATTGTGCCAGTATTGCAAATGTACCTTTATTTTGACAATATCAGTACACAATTGTTAATAAAATTATTTCGGTATTTATCTCTGAATCATAAATTACATATATAAGAAATATCACATTTAGTAATAGCAAATGAATATGTGTATGTACAT